ATCTCAGATTTTCTTCAATGTCTTTGATTCTTTTTTCATTTTTTTTGTCCACTTGTATTATTTCAAACAGCCCATCTTCAAGTTCAGAGGTTCTCTCTTCAACTTCCGTTAGCCTGCTTGTTAAACTCTCCATTGTGTTTTTTTTTTCGCTGAATAACTTCTTCAGTTCGGCAAGTTCTGCTACATTTTTTTTTAGGACATTGATTTCCTTGTACATTTCCTCTTTCAGGTCCTGTATACTTTTCCTCGTTTCATCATGCTGTCTAGCTGAGTTTTCTTGTATCTCATTCAGTTTCCTTAGAATTCAATTGCCTTATTTTTTGTTTTCTGTCTTCTTCCTCCAGAAGTAAGGAACAGAAGGAAAGGATCTTTGTTTTGTCTACTAATACCAGGCCTTCAGTAAATGTTTGTTGAATAAATAGTGTGTCAGTCCTCTGAAAGAAAAACAAAATAAATTCTTTCCATTTGAGAGATGTGTATGTGCTTCATTCATGTTTATTAAATTATATTTTAATAAAAAATTCCCCAAGAGGTATTTTCTCCCAAAGTCTTTTAAATATTATTATCTTTAACAACAGTGGCTTCTGCCACTGGAATTTCCCCTTTGTGCACAGGAAAGTTTAGTCTGAGAATCTTCCTAGACATAAGTTGGGTGGTTCTCCATACAAGTCCTGCAATTGTCGCTGATCAGAACAAAACTTAGGCTGGCAGTGGATACCCATCCTTGGCTAAATCTCTGTGTCTTCCTGTGCACAAATAACAAAGCTATCCCTGCCATATCAGTTCTTTGATACAAGTGTTAAGAGTTTTGTTTAAGAGTTCTTTGGTGACAAGCAATCTACTTCAGGCAGAAGAGGGAGTTTCTTGGCAGGACAGCTCAAGAATTAAAGAAAAAGATCCAGGCCTTGAAAAGGTCAGGGGTAAAAGCAGCTCCAGATCTAGGCAGCAGGAACCTATGGACTCTGGCTGCCTATCAGGACAAGTACTGGCAGTCAAAACAATAGATGCTCGCTAACCCACCTCCATTGGAATTTATGGGTTTTTTTTTTTTTTTTGATGATCACTCATTCATTCATTCAGAGCTTGCTGTGTGTCAAGCACTAAACAGTGTTAGAGCCTAATAAAACAAAATAAATAAGAAACTGATAGCAAACAATTACAATGTATAATAAAGAAATGCTTATGTCCTGTGAGAGTACAGAAAATAGACATGTAACCCAGACTTCTGCATATTTAAGAGGATAACAAGACAGATGTTACATATATATCATAGTTAATGAGTAAGTGTCAACACAAACCCTTTGAGAAGTCTATCAGGAAAGATCTTTTCCTGATCTAAATGGTTTTAAATGAAATTTAAGTACATTCCCATCCCACTGGTTTCTATTTAATATAAGACGGTTCCTTCAATTATTGTTAGGTGTGTATGCTGTTGAAAATAAGGTGCAATACAACAGTCTGGCTAGGATCATGAGACTGGGTTTTCCTAGTGGCTAATGAATGCATTTTATTATTTTATAGCCACTTATTTTATAAATCATTTACTTGCTCAAGAAATATAATAGAACACCATTGACTCAGAATTAAGAGCTGGATCAAAACACCCTACTTTTATAATAAAGAGAGAATTTTATTGATAATTGAAGGCCACCAAAAGGCAATTACTTAATGGTTCTTTAGAGCAAAAGCCTTTCTCTCTAGTAGCCAAATTGTACCAGAAGATAAGAGAGACAGACATAACTTGTTGAGGCAAGGTGTATCAAACACATTGTGATAGATTATTAAAACAACCATATTTATATTTCAAGTATATGAAAAATTGCAAATAAAATATCCAGTTAGAGAGAAAGTATTTATATTTTTAAATTTTTGCTTTAATAATTTGCTTAATTGCTTTACTTCTCTATTTTATGATCGCATGATTTCTTTTGCTCTTCTGGGAGTGCTTTCTCCAGCATTCTAGCCCTTTCTCCAATTCCAGAATCTCCTGTTCACCAATGCTCACTTCTAACCTATACATACCCAAGGGAATTTCTTTCATGGAAAGCAATCCCAAACCTTTCTCCTTAGGACTTAGTTCCCACTCTTCCTTTGTGAGAGCATTTACAAAGCTGGGTTGCATTATGATGCTTTACCAGATGGTTTGAATATTTGTTGAGTCTGAACATTCAAAATCTGTCATTATTTATTAGCCTACTTTCCAATATAAGTGCAAAATTTGTTCACTTAAAAGAATATCTGTATGCTTATACAATCAGTATTTATTTTTGAATTCTAGTTGAAGAGCTTTTAATTATGCGAATGATGAATAAAGAACCTTCCTCATATAAAATATATTTGCTTCTTTTCTGTCTTAGAGTAAAATACATCTATTTTGGTATAGGACAAGGATTAATTCTTACTAACTTTATAGCCATTGGTAAATTAACATCCCCAATTTTCTCATTGTAAATTTGGGCTTTTAACACCTAATCATCTACATGGATATAATGGGATTGTTAGTGCGAAGACTGGAGTCAATGTATGTAAAATATCTCAACACAGTACCTAGCACATGCAGGAGCTCAAAGTGACAGAGGGAAAAGAATACAGCTAATCTACATGGATATAATGGGATTGTTAGTGCGAAGACTGGAGTCAATGTATGTAAAATTTCTCAACACAGTACCTAGCACATGCAGGAGCTCAAAGTGACAGAGGGAAAAGAATACAGCTACAACAAAACTCACCACCTCAAAATTTACATTTGTATAAGTTGGTTATACTAGAGAATGTAAAGTCTTAAAACTGAGAGGAAATAAAAGCCCTTTTCTTTCTTCAGTTTCTCTTAGGAAACATACCTGACAAGGTGGTGCCTAGAGAATATTATTTTTCTACTCTTTTATTTAAGAACCAAAGTTTGGAGGAGGCACAGTGTTCTTTACGTTCTTAGAAAATAAGAATGATAGCAATAATAATAATGGAGTACTTTCTGTGTCCCAAGAGTTCCTTCAAACTCATTACATGTACTATATAAGTTAATCTGCATAACAATTCTTTAGGATAGCGAGTATTATTAGCTTTCATATATGGACATTATATGGAAGCAGAGACATTAAGAAACTTGCCCAAGATCACCCAGCTGATAAGCAGATGAGACAATATTGAAACTCAGGAGTAAGACTCCATAGGCTGCGCTCCCAGCCCTATTGCTTGTTAGAAGGACATTCTGTATGCTTTTCCTCACCTGAATGAGGTCAGTGGATGAATGTCAGGCTTCGTTATGCACATTATAATCTGACTGTTATAATGAAAATTATTCCCAAGAAATAAATCGTTCTCTTATCCAATTATATTCTTGCTAAAATATTTTACATTCGTAGCTTATAATATATTTAAGGAACTTCGTATTCTTTATGTATCACATCTAAGATGTTCATTTATTCCTTCCTGTCCGCTATTCCTTTGTGCAAGGGGTTGTTTGTAGGTTTTTATCTTTTGTGAGCAAATGCTTATATAGGTAACTATAATTCCACCTTCAGTATTTAAAGGACCCAATGAAAGAGACACTAAAGTACTTTCCTTTTATTAGCAACCTAGTTTTTTTCCCCCTATGCATTAACAAGGTGAGTGACCTTTTCCATGCATACGTATTTCACTTTGAAGAGAATATAGCATTGAAACTAAGACCTCATTAAGCAGACCTATTAGGAAATGATATTAATCTAATTATGAAAGAATTTTTTTGCCTTATAAAAGTAGCTTGCACTCAGTAGCATAATCTTCTGAATGAAAAAGGCATATGTGGATATATCTTCTGGGAAAATAAAAAATATTGAGATCAGTACCCATTATTAATATTAGTTATTTTGTTGGGTCTGTTTGCTTTTCCTATAGAAATGTTTTTAGCTCTCTCATGATAGTATTTGGTTTCTAATAAATATGGAAATTGTAAATTATAGGCATGTTATATTGCTAATTTTAATAAGAAATGTTTGCATAATTTCACTCTTTCCACTTACTTTTCTCATGACCAAGGACTGTGGGTTTCAGAAATCTGGAGTCTGACCACCAGAAGATGTTTACATTGATTTTCTCTTTTTGTTTACAGCCCAAAGGAATAGTGCTGACCCGTTAGACATAGAGGATGTACACCAGCACAAGGTATATGTATGTTTAGTAATAAACATTTTTATAGGGATGCAGTTGCTGGTTATTTTATAGATCATCAGAGGGAAAAAGACTGCTGAAGCATTAGTTACAAATAGTGACTTCACCTTTGCTTTTAAGACACTCCAGAACAATTACATGAGAATCAGAGGGTTCTGGGCTATTAGTTTGAAAAGCAATTGAGTAAATGTAGCATATCTGGGCACACTAGTGTATTGGCAACCATTTCCTTTCTCCTCCTCTTCATGGAGCCTGAGGTTTATCAACCATGTTAAATTTCCTCTGACCTAAGCACCAAAAAAAAAATAGTGACTTCACCTTTGCTTTTAAGACACTCCAGAACAATTACATGAGAATCAGAGGGTTCTGGGCTATTAGTTTGAAAAGCAATTGAGTAAATGTAGCATATCTGGGCACACTAGTGTATTGGCAACCATTTCCTTTCTCCTCCTCTTCATGGAGCCTGAGGTTTATCAACCATGTTAAATTTCCTCTGACCTAAGCACAGTATAAGAGTCAAAGGTGTCAGTCCATCCCTTCAAACTTTATACTAAGGTACATCGAAAAGTTTATGGAAAAATAGAATTAAAAGATCATGTGAATCTTTTCATGAACTTTGTGAAGTACCTTCGAATGGTGGGCAGTTACTCTTCATTTGGTATTTGAGTTGTAGCAAGTGAGAGGAAGCAGTGTTCCTGTTTTAATCTTAGCAGCCCACAATAATCTTTGTATACAGACCAACTTAGACGCATATCTGTCTTCTTGTTTTTAAATCCCTTCTTCCATTGCCTTACCTATAGTTCTCCCAGATACCAGAGGAAGAAACTCTCCTAATTCTAGCTCTAGCTATATAATATTTGGAAGAGGAGACTTTCTAAAACATTCCTGTAAAGTTTTTTTATCTGATTAGTTTAAAAACCCATAAAAATTATGCATATTAAATGTTTTATTATGCTTAGTGAGATTAATAGTGCTAAAATACTGGCAAAAAGGAATTAAAATGTACAGTAGAAAATAAAGATTAGTACACATACTGAGTCTAAGTCTATTTCATTTGCATTTCTACTTTTCTGAAATATAAGAGTGGATATATCCCAACAGACCTTGTGGTTAGATCAAATTATAAAATTGAATGGAATAATAGTTTCATTTATCAATAATCCAGACTAAATTGAGTACAGAACTACAGCTGAATATTAAAGCTAACTATATATTTTGTTTCCACAGAAACCAAAATTCAGTTCCAAAAATCGCATTTGGTCTGTTTGTAATGAAAATTCCAACAGACAGAAGCCAGAACATGTAAAAGTTGATAAAGAAAGCAAAGAGGGTTTATTTATAAGTAAAGACAATGTGTATGAATATTACCAGAAAGATCCCAGAAACACAAAATTTGGTAAATTCAAGCATAAACAATCAGCTCTTAACCAAATATATTCTACAGGACTCAGAAAGGGCAATCTGCTTAATATCAAAGATCCCAGCACAAATACATCTAAAGGTAAAGGAAGAAGAAACAGACTACATAAAAGGATTCAAGCAGATGATGGAGACTGCAATCCAAGAAAGTCAATAGTTGTCTCTTCTTCCAGGACAATAAACAGACTTGTTACTTGTCAGCAGCATGTTCTCCAAACCCTTGATGACCTTCCAGAAGAGTCATGTGAACCTTCTAGCTCAACTCTGTCAAGCCTGAAAAATGGATTAAGTAACAATATTGAGGCTTGTTCAGTTTCTAAAGAGACACATAGCCAGAACCTAGGTTTATCAGATAGTCAAGAAATACAGTTCTTAGAATTAGAATCCATTGACCAAACTGAAGCTGTTTCTTTCTCAGGACTTTCATTACATAAAGAAATCAAGTTACCACTTGTTACTGAAGATGAGCAGCCTCACACTCACCAAGAACAACACAGTAGCCCTTATAAATCTCATGAAAATAATCACTCAGGTAAAAAACATGAGAGCCTTAATAATAAAAAGGAAAATTCTTTCCCATCTTTTATAAAGGAAAATACTGATGATGATGATGACGGTAGTTGCTGTACCGCTGAGAAGGCTGTAACATCAACAAAGGTAATATGTTTTACAGATCGCAAAAGCCACTATAAAGAAAATACAGCAAATAGAGAAGAAATGGATTTTCAACATTTTTTACCTTCTGAAGACCATTTTTCATTGGAAAATGAATTAAAAGCAGGCAGCCTAACCATGCTTGCACAACAGGAAGCTGTTAGTTTTTCTGATTCACATAATGTCATTTCTGAACATGTTGCAAATTATGAACAATGCATATGTGGAACTCCTTTTGATCACTCACTTGGTAATCCTGAGCAAACTTTTCTGGCTTGTACAAGAACACTTTCAACACATGAAGTTTCAAAGTTGACTGGTCATGTGAAGCTATTCAAAGAGTCTCAGGATCATAGCCCCACAGCACCAACTTCTTTAATGAATCAAACAGATACAAATATTGTGGAAAAGGTGCCAAAGAAACAAGACATTAAAAGGAATTACAATGACAAAGTCCAAAAAACAAGTTCTTCAAATGGGCCTTTATCTACAGTTGTTCATTCTCAAGTAAGAGAAACAACTAAAGTTGAAAAAAGGATACAAGACCTTCCAGAGAATGAGACTATACATAATACAGATTTTTATTCCACTGACAGTATGAATAAAGAATTGACCAACATCTCACAACTTAGTCAAAGAGAAGAGAAGGAAATTTCTCACAAACCAGGTATTAATAGTAATGCTCAATTCGTATACATTTCCTATAGATTTACTTATTTTATAGAAATTCTTAACTGAATTCCACTCAGCATAGGCCCAAACTGACAAGAATAAGGACATGATTTGGGATGCTGCTAAACCTAATAATCAAGTAAAAGTGTTTTTCTGGAAAGTAAAACTGTTATTATCAAAGATGGTCACTAAATTGATACTGATAGAAGTTAATAAACAGTGTATCTATTAATTTTTCTGTTTTTTAAAAATACATATAGCATTTAGTACCACGAAACCTAACAATATTTTCATTGCAGGAAATTGTTACTGCCTTTGATTTCAACTATTCATTGTATTGCCCTTAGAGTTACAACCAGCAAACTTTATGTTTGTTATATAAAAAATATTTTAAGAGTTTTCATTCCTTTAAACAGTCAAGCTTGGAACAGAAACTCTATAAAAGTCTGAATTTTCTTTTCTAGTCATGTAACCAGAAAGGAGAACTACAACACTGATATTGTAAAATATTTGTGTTTCAGATGAGGATGTAACTAATAATATCAGTGAAGATGAAGGCACTATAAAAAATTGTGAGGAGAGAAAAGAAAAAACAGATTCAGAAATTCACATGTCTGCTGATCTCCAAGAACACAGAAAAGTTCAGAATTTCAAAAACAGGCAAAGTTTCTTGAAAGCTACCTGCAACCTGCAAGGTTTGTATTCCTATAATTGTATCAGTAAAAATATATACAATCAAGCCAAGCAATCCACTTTACTTCAGGGAATTTCTAAACTTTGAGATATATGAGTACTGTTTATCTTTTTTGTCATTCACTAAGTTATAAGATTATTTCAGCTATATTTGTTGTTAAGGCACCACTTGAAAATCCATTAGTCTTCAGATATATTCTTGTCATTTTTCTGCCTATGACTTCTAGTTTATGTTAGAGAAGATAAGATAAACAACAGAGACAGCAAGACTATTCAGTGGGGGCAGCAGGGGTGAATTGTGTCAGGCCCCTTAGAAGCATAGCCACTGGTTTCTTTTTGTCAGATGAGTGAACTATGTGTATTTGGCAATATGGACAAGCTGACTATTCTTTGATAGTTCTTGGAGCTAGTTCTAAAATGAACTATAGGCTGGGCCATTCAGTTTAAACAGTAAGCACTGAAAAGTTGATTTATCTACTATCCATTAAGGTAGGAAGGACACTGGATTAGGCATTCTCTGTGAACCTTACCCCACTTTCCTCCTCTTATGTAAACTGAAGCCCTTCTTATACATACCTCCTGTAGTGGGTTGAATGATGGCCTTCCAAAACATGTCCGCATCCTAGTCCCTGGAATTTGTGAATATTTTATTACCTTGTATGGTAAAAGAATGAATATTACCTTCTTTGGAAAAAGTTTTTGCATATGTAATCAAGTTAAGGACCTTGAGATGAGATCATCCTGAATTATCCAGGTGGGCCCTAAATCTAATGACAAGTGTCCTTATAAGAGAAAGACAGAAAGAGATGTGAGACACCTAGGAGAAGATGATGTGAAGATAGAGGCAAAGGAGCCATGTAGCCATAAGCCTGGGAAGCCAAAGAATGCTGACAGCCATCAGAAGCTGGAAGAGGCATAACTCCCATAAAGCTTTCAGCGGGAGTGCAGTCCTACTGACACCTTGATTTTGGACTTCAGGTCTCCAAATCATGAGAGAATAAATTTCTCTTGTTTTAAGCTACCCAGTTTGTGGTAATTGAGAGGAAGGGGAAGGAGGATAGGATGGGAGGAAGAGGAAGGGGGTCATGGTTGAGACTCATGGCACCCCCCTCATTCCAACAGGAGAGCCTGGAGGGCTTCTGGCAGCAGCTCAGCCATGGCTTGGCTGGATGTGGACTTTGGGGGGGCATGGCTGAGGCCCTTGGCCCCCCTCCAACCTGGGAGCCTGGGGTGTTTCCAGCAGTGGCTTGGTGGTCATAGGTGGGTTGGATGTGGATGTTGTGGGAGCATGGCTGAGACCCTCGGCCCCCCACCACCCTGGCTTGGGGGCCTGGGGAGATTTCGGCAGCAGCTAAGTGGTTGTTGCTCGGCTGGATGCAGATGTCAAGGGAGCATGGCTGAGGCCCTTGGCCCTCCCCCACCAGGGGCTTTCAGTCCTTCTAGGTTTTATAGGTGTTCTTTGGTGGTAGTAGACCTTTACTGGTTAATATCACAACTTTGTCTCTGATCTGTGGGTTTTTTGTTTTTTCTTTAAATTCTGTATTAGATTATTTGCTATTCCCACCACTTAAACTCTTGCACTGGAAATAATTTGTCCTTTGATTACTTCTAAAATGGAGGAAGTCCCTGTGGGGACTAGCACTTGAGTCCTGTGGTTGAGCTAAATTGCTGCTTTGCTGCTGATTCCCTGGGGAAGGCTTTTTGTGCAGCTCGGACTTTAATTGTTGACCTTGTAAGCCCTTCTGGGTCTTGTGAGGTCCAATACATGTGAGTTGTGTGGAAACTCTGGTCTGGGCCTGTGTCTTTTCAGCAAACTGCACCCCCTGCAGTTTTATATTTCTGATCAGTCTCCCCTGAGTGGGCCTATGCTGATTGCAGGGCAAATGAGCTGTTCATGCTGTGCCCAAGCGTACCCCAGGTGGGTCCATCTTCCTCCACTGCCCACACTCCAAACACTTCCCATGGGATGGGCCATGCACCAGTCCGTTGCAGTGACTCACCAACCTCTGAGTGGCTCCCTTTTCAGTTGCATGTGGCTCCTTATTCCTATGTGGGTTCACAGGAACCCTGTAAGTGGTTTTGCTGACCTGGGGGCCACTAGGGCCCTCTTCTCCCTTGCAGCTTCTAAGCAACTTCATACAAAGGGCACAGCTACAGCTTTTGCCAGTTCTTGCTCCATGTGCTCACCAGGGCCAGCCTTAAAATGGCTGTGGCTCAAAACAGAGCAGTCCTTTCTTTCTCTCATCATGGCTTCTCCTGCCTTCATGAACTCCATAGGTCTCTCTTCCTCTTCCCCTGAGCTCTAGCAGCCTCAGCTTGGCAGTTTGTTGCTTTTTAATAGTTGTAAATTGGTTGATTGTGGGAGAGGGTGATGCGGGGTACTGTCTATTCCACCATCTTGATTGGAAATCCAAATCTAGTAGTTCTGTATGTCAGGAATTGGACATGGCTTAGCCAGGTCTTCTTACAGCATCTTTCATAGGCTGAAATCAAGGTGTTGGCCAGGACTGGGGTCTCATCTGAAGGCTGGACTAGGAAAGGATCCATTTTTAAGCTCTTGTGGTTGTTGGCACAATTCAGTTCCTTGAGGGTAGTTGGACCGAGGGCCTCAGTTCCTACTTGGCTATTGGCTGGTGGCCATCCTTGTTTCTTAGTGTATAGGCTTCTCCAGCATGGCTGTATGCTTCATCAAAGCATACAAACTGAATGTAATAGAGCAAATCAGCTAGCAAGACAGAAGATGTTAACAATCTCTTATAACTTAATCAAAGAAGTGAAATAGAATGTTAAGAGATATTCTATTGGTTAGAAGCAAGTTATTTAAGAGGAGGGGATTATACAAAGCTATAAATAAGGGCCATTTTAGAGTCTGCCCTCAAAAGTAGGCTTGGGGTGAGCTGGAGAATTTGCATTTCTAACAAGTTTCCTAGGTGGGACTGATACTGCTGATTTAATGAATATTCTTTTCTGTTTCATCCCCCTAATCCTCTATTTTGCCTTGCATGTCAGTCTGAATCTTCTGTGATGCAGTTTGTACAGACAACAAACCTCCAGGTTCCTGGCTTTGGGATAGGGATCTGGGGTAAGAGGAGTGGTGGGGAAGGGAACTTGGTGTCTCAACTTTTCTATACATACAAGGGTACTTCAAAAAGTTTGTGGAAAAATAAAATTAAAAGATAATATGAATCTTTCTATGAACTTTTTTTTTTTCGTTAAATTTTTATTTTGTCAATATACAATGTATTAGATTATTATGGCCCATCACCGACACCTCTCTCCCTCCTCCCTCTCTCCCCTCCCACCCAAGAATGTCCTTTCCATTTGCTTGTTGTAACAACTTCAAAAAAGTATAGAACTTTTTGAAGTACCCTCGTAAATTTTCAATCATTCTCTCTATTTCCAGCCCTGTTCCACATACCTTCCTTCTGTGGTTCCTGATACTACCAAGTGCTGAGTGCCTGGGTTCAGATTGTCTCTCTTCCTCTGTAATTCCCTTTGCAGGAACTTGAGTTAGAGCATTCCTCACTTTGCTAAGTCAGTTCACTCTTCTCCATCAGTGACTTTCCAATTCCCCCGAATTTGTTGAAGTCTCTGTCCTCTATCATTTCTTCTTCTGTTTTCTTTAAATGGCACTTTTTAATATCTTTTACTATCATTTTAGCATGTTTTGGGGAGGAAATGAAGGAAAACATATGATCGGTCCTTTACTTTAGTTCCAGCTTAAGTCTCTCTCACTTTCACTGCAAGGAAAAGATAAAGAAAAAAATCTTTGGACAATGATATTGTATTGCATTTTTTATGAAAGAAAAGTAGTGTGGGGAAAATAGGATAATTTAGTCAGGCTCCCTT